ATATAAAGGTATCATTTTTTAGAACGAGAGCCTATTATATGCTCGATTTTTAAAACTTTCTGATCGCTACGGACTGGTGGCGAAAAACCTTTTAATTATCCCTCAGAGCAATAATATTGACGATGATGATAAAGATAACACTCCTTCATCTGATGTTCCTAGTTGACATATTTAGATTGTTCTTTTATTTCTGATATATTGTTATGCTTGCATTAGCTAGAACTAACATTAATAAACATATTAGAATTTCAGTTCATTTTTATAAAGACATATCGTTAAGTACCGTAAACTCAGAAAATAAGCACCATTTTTATTTTTAATTGGTAGTGGAGCTTATTTTCTGGTTATTTGAAGATTGATAAAACATCGATTCAAGATCTCCGTTGGATACATAACTACTTATTCAAGTAGATGTATTATACAACTACGCTACAAAGGAAACTCCAATTATAATAATTAAGTTAAACTTTAGTTTATTTAATGGAAGATACTGGTTTGCATTATATTGCATAATATAAATTAATGGCCTTGTTATAAAAACTTTGATATTTACTTGTAATTAATTATGCCGAAAGAAAAAAGAAGTTATACTGTTACCTTTAAACTCGAAGCAAACTATCAATCATGCTTCAGCATGTAAATATGATTGATCATACAATGATTAAACGGTGGCGTGAAACAGGAAATTTTAAAGCGTCAAGAAGTTTTGTTCAACGAGTATGTTCAGGTCAAAAAGCAACGGATCCTCTTGCAGAAGATTCATCAAAACGATGGGTTGATGAACTATGCAATGAAGAATTGCTGTAATGCCTTCTGCCGTGAAGCTCAAAATGAAAAATCTTCTTACGAATAATTTTCTCCAACATTACCCAAATGCATTCGAAACATTTAAAGTTTCCAATAACTGGTCTTATAGTTTTATGAATTGGTATGATCTTTCATTTCGTCGTTAAACAAAAACTTTGGCAAAAATTGCCTCGAAATTTGCAAACTTAAATACTAAAAAAAGCGGAGTTTATTAACTCCGGATGCTTTCAAAGGACATCTAACTGATAAAGTCAGAAAAACGCGCAGAATGTAATACTATTATGACCGAAGGACTTACATTACTTGTTAACAAGCCTTTCAGGGGTCAAATGGTGAATTTTAACTTACTCGAGAAGGAAAATTTAAAAACCGATATGTTAATGGATTGTTGATGCTTGGGAAGATATTCCTACCGAACTTGTTAAGAAATCTTTCAAAATGTGGAATTTCGAATGAACTTGATGGAGCGAAAATCATTTTAACGTATAAAAAAAATAGTACATCAGAGGAACCATTTACCGGTTTAACAGAAAATTTTCAAAAATGTCTTACATCATTGATGGAAGTAGGAAGTCAAGAATGCTAAAATTAAACTAAAAAGATTTATTCTAGTTATTTTACAAATCTGTATATTAATGTATGTACTGTACATATGTAGATTGAACTATCATTGTCACTATTGAAATTGAATTATCGCTATTGCTATTGAAATTGTTAAATTGTTATATAAGATGCTTATTTTTACTGATCATAAATTTTATTATGCGGGTATTAATTCACAGTAAGTGCATATTTTTTGAGTTTTACAGTAATTGGCGATAAACTTTTATGAAAATGATGAAAAAATAACACCATTGCCCAATTCAAATTTATCGATCACGAAACCCTTAAGGTCATATACGACCCAAATGATCTTATCAGACCATATCTCCATCAGAACATAGTGATATGTTTTTTTCGTAGTCACATACATTTTCCAATCCTCTACATTTTCAAGATCCAATTCACCCCCAGACCCACCAATAATTGCATACACTATTCCATCTAATTGTCCACGTTGATAATTATGCTGGTGTCCACTTATTACCAAATCTACTCCGTGTGTGCGAAATAAAGGTACAAATCTCGTACGTACGAATTCTCCCCAGTGTTTTTCATTTTTGTCATGCCACGCTCCAGGTTCCCAAAATTCGACAAAAGGTGGAATGTGCACGACTACAATCCTAAATTCAGCATTTTTTGTTTCTGAAGAAGAAAGTTCTTGAACAAGCCATTCATCTTGCTTAATGTCATCTATATTACTATCTAACACTATCCAACGCGTATTAGCTATCGTGAATGAATACCAAGGCATGTCAGTAGTGTAAGCGTATATACTTTGTTTATCGTAATCATGATTTCCATGCGCATAAATCATAGGCGCTTGTTGTGATAATTGATAGTTTGACAAAGGATCATAAAAATCTGTTTGCCATTGTTGAAGATTTTTG